ATGATACAATTATTTTAATGTAAAAATGAGCAATGATAGGTGCAGTATTAACATTGACTGGTCATATTGCTTGTATTAAGTAAATTAGTATGATTTGTTCAATTGGTCTTTTGTAAAATGGCATTTTTTTATTTTAGAAAGATATGATCAGTATAATATGTTGCAGAGTTTTTCATAATTATTTATTCAAGTAAATTTTTAGAAATAAATCAATTTTTTAATAGCAATTTATTGAATAATCTTAGAATATTCTGGAAGAAAAGAATCAACCTGGAGTGGGACTCAAATCTGCAACTGCCACTGTGCTGTGTGGATGCATAGCCAGTTACACTATCTGGACCTCTGTTTGATCTTGCTCTTCCAGACATATAGTAATTGTTATATAACACCTACTGCTGAGAATGATGAGAATTGCTGAGAATCAAATGAGCTATTTTCAATTTTATCAATTTTCTGGAACGTTTACAATCATTCTATAATTGAACCAATATGCAATAACAAATTCAAATTTAAAACTGTTCGAGCATTTAGTTAAAACATCGAAATATATGCAAATATTTATAACAATGTCTGAAATGTTATCAATTTAATACACCTAAGTACTCAATGAAAACTAAATGTAGTTGAAAACAAAAAATCACATCCCTTTTTAGTGTGCATTCTCATGGCATACCCTACTAAAATGTAGTTAAAAACAAAAACTTGCATCAAAAATATTACAGTAGAAGCCATTCTTCAGGTTAAGCCTTAATCCTCTCCTTCTCCCCACAGGGAGAATTTTCAAAAATCCCTTCTTAGTGTGCATTTTCATGGCATACTCTGTGTACAAAATTTCACCTCTAGGTGCAGCAACTTGCTCTGGGCAATGATGAATCAATCAATCAATCACTCAGTCAGTCGGGACAAGTAATTTTATATGTTTAGATATACAAGGGCTATTTTTAAGGTCCTTTTTTTAATAAGAAGAAAAATACTGTAAATATCATTAAAATATATTTTTTTCCCATATTCTACATACTTTTATCTACTTTTGTACACAATTTCCATTTTTGTTCAAACATTTGTCATACCGCTCAAAAATTTTTTAATTCCAACTTCAAAGAAATCTGCCGCCTGCCACCAGAAGACATTAGGCCACGCCGCTTGTCTTGTATGGTACAGCAGAGTTTTTCTCAAGATCACAATAGGCATCAGAATTGCTTGTTGTGTCTCTTAACATAAAATCCACTAACAAAATCCCTTTCCTGTCCCAAAAGACAGTTACCGTGATCTTTTGTGCTGAAATTGAATAACAGATCGTATCTTACATTCGGTGGGCAACTCAATTTTCTTAAACATTATAAACTTCTACAGTTCAGCACACAGACAGATGATACGGCTGCAAATGGCATCTAAACATGCGCAAAGCATGCTGAAAGCAGATGCTCATGCACACTGCTGCAATCGCGTGTCATTCTCACTCTCATTCACAAACGGACCTTATTTAAAAAATAGCTTTTGTAACAAGCAATTGTTTATTGTGACATTGTCACAATGCCAGGCTGCAATTTTTAATCATATTTTTAATTTAATTTAAAATATATGTTGTCCACCTCATATTAGTAGTGTTGTGCCCCTGTGCTTCATACTTTTCTGCTAGCAATAGAGTTGTGCCAGTCATCTAACTTCTTTTAGGGGAAAATTTTTTAATTGAAATAACACGACTTTCAGTGCAAACTAGAAGTTAATATATAGTTAATCGAGGCCTCCTGTTCTTAAGGTTTTTATATCTGGTCTCAACTTTCTTCTTTCTAACTCTGTTCTTGAGATTAAGGAAGGACAGACATACAGATGGATGGACAACAATGGGAATTTATAGGTCTACAATTTTTCAAATTGCAGCCCAATAAGTTATAAAAATATTGGTACTAGAGGTAGGCATTAGGCACCATCTCTGAATAAATTAATAATTGAACTGCAATTTGAAAAAATTGCAGCCCAATTATTAATTTGCAGACCTATTGCAGACCTATAAATTCAAAAACAAAATTGCAGACCTATAAATTCCCACTGTCCGTCTGTCTTTCCTTAATCTCAAGAACGGAGTTAGATAGATGAAAGATGAGACCAAATATGGAAATATTAGGGTCAGGAGGCCTTGATTAACTATATATGAACTTCTAGTTTGCATCTGATGTCACGTTATTTCAATTCAAAAATTTTCCCCAAAAGGTGTTAGCTAGATGACTGGCACGACTCTATTGTTAAAGGAAACGTATGACATACAGGGACAAGCCACTTCTAATTTGAGGTGGAGAACATATATTTTAAATGAAATAAATTAAAATCATGATTAAAAAATTGCAGCTTAGCATTTTGACAATGTTACAATAAATTTACACTTTAACATACACTCAGACTCATTGAATAAATACAATAAATAATTGCTCATTTATATTGACAATTTGTTAAGTTTTTGTAGAAATGTTTGTATATTCATAAAGAAATGTGCTACTCAATGTACTTTCTATCTAATCTAATTATCCACGTTAAGAATTTATAATTCATCTGATGATTCCTCTTTTATTTAATATATTTGAAATTATTGAGGAAACCTTCTTATAGAAAATGTTATAAAACACTGGTATATATGCAAAGAAATGATTACTATTGGGTTGTTCGGAAAGTAAGTTCGTTTTTTTTCTGCTGAAAAAAACACAATATTTTTATAATAAATAAATATTTTATTGAATTATATATTGACCATTTTGGTCAAATACCTGTTGTCATCGTTTCTGGTAGTAGCATGATTTCAGATTCATAAAAGTTTTGATCGTTGCTTACAAAAAACTGATCCAAGTGATTTTTGACATTGTCATTTCAAGTAAATGTCTTACAGTTAAAAGAAATTTATATAGACCAGAACAAGTAATAATCTGAGTGTGCTCGATCTGGCGAATACGGTTGGTCCCATCTAACTTATAACAGTTTCTGACAAGTTACCAAACTTGGGTGAAATTTGACATTATCATGGTAAAACACTACACCTGTTTTGTTGTTCAATTCTGGCCGCCTTTTCTGTTTAATGATATTACTCAATTTGTTTACTCGATGGCAGTACACTTTCGAATCAATTGTTAAATTGTCTGGTAAAAGCTCCAAAAAAAAATTTCCTTAAAATCCCACCAAAGAGAGCATCTCTCTTTAAGAACATGTGGAACCCATATATCAAGCTTTGAAACGAAACCAATTTGTTTCAAGTAATCATAAACAGTTCAATTTGACAAATTTAATCTCTTAGTGATTTCACGTGTTGTTATTCGGCAGTTTGCTTCAATCAGTACCTTTATTTTGTTTTCATTGGCTTCAACTGGCCATCCAGAACGTGGTGCATCTTCAATATTGAAATTGCCAGAACGAAATTTTGTAAACCAGTTTTGGCACTGTCGTTCTGTCAATACATCTTCTCCATACATGTCACACAATTTTTTTCTTGCTTGAACAGCATTTTTACCTTTTCGGTAATAAAAGAGCAAAATATGCCGAAAATGCTGCTTTCGATCTTCCATATTTGATGGGACACAAAAAATAAACAATTGCGCAAAATCAAACAAAATTTTTTACAAATAAGCATTAAAATGCCAGCTGTCAAAATATATAATGATAATACGGTTTAGAATGAAAATGGCGGGAAAATACGACTAATCCGTCTAGTGGTAAAAAAACAAAATTACTTTCTAAATAACCTAATAATTTGTGAAATAAAGAGTAGTCTAAAAATTAGTTTTGCATTTATTAAATAATAAATTTAATCAAATTAAAACTTTTTCTAATTTTTAAAATATTTTTTATTTATGTTTTTGTCAACCAATTTTAAGAAACATTACTGTTTATGTATGAAAAGTATAAGATTTTTAAGGGTGAAGTTACAAGATAATATTTTTTGCAGCATTTTTGTTTTTTTATATTTTATATAGTGAATCTCTAAACAATAAATACAAGTAAATAAATTTTATCAGAAAAGTAATAAATAATTTTCATTTAAAATAAAATTACTTTTATTGATCTTATCTTTCAAGATTGGAGGTAAGAGATGGTGGCAATGGAGCCACCTCTATTCTATACATCACTTCCAATTGAATCAGTCTGATGAGCATAGTTATAAGCTATTGAAAGTATTCTCAATTTTGAATAAAAAGTTATTTTTAATGTTATAAGACAGCGAGTACATTACAATATAACTGTTTTTACATGAAGTGTAGTTAATTTTTGTTACATCACTACAGTGTATTTACACACACATCATGATCAAATTCTATACTTGAGTATGTTTATCAGATTTTGGAGTGAAAAATATGGTGACGGTGGGATCCACTCCCTGAAACATTATTAAAATGCATTGATATCAGATTTAGATGTCTTAAATTTTAGTCTTCTATCTCAATTAGAAGTAGATGAAATTGAGTTGCAAGATTTAAAGACATGATACAAAAGCAAGTTAAATAAAACATTTAAAAACAACGATTGATATAATTTATATATATAATAAATTAAACTTTTTCATTTACTGTACATAATACATTCATGTAAAGGAAAAAATGTGTTGTAAATAATATATTATCTTATTAGCTGGTTTAATCTTAGAGTTATACATTAAAAATGACTTCAATCTATCTTAATATCAGTACTTGAAAAAGTAAAATTTGTTTTCAAAAGAAAAATTGTTGATAAATTTTGATTTCTTATAGAATATTACAATAATTATCACTATATAACATGAAAATTTCAATACCGTCCTTCATTTTCAGCATATTTTATAAGCCTGCATTATGTTTCAAATCAGGCTAGATTTCAAACCTGTTGCAGGCTTATGAAATGTGCTCAATATGTTGTTTCTAATAAATGCATTTGCTGGAAATGCAAGGATAGTGTTGAGATTTTCATGTTAATCATAGTTCTAGCTTTGTTCATTAGTTTTATTACTATATAAGTGTATAATAATTATCATATTTATTTTAAAGTGGAAAAGTTAGTTAATATTGGAACTGAACTTCTGGAAAATCAGAATGTGAGCAAAGATAATATCAGGTAAAATACTTTTCATATGTTTATATTTTTTACACCAAGTTTATTTTTCAAATATTTTTAGATTGAATTATCTGTTCCATTAATGACATAAGTTTGGCAATTCTCGTGACAACAGTTTTAATAGTCAATCTAAAAGTAATTGAATAATAAAATTGTGTGGATCTTAAATAAAATTTCATAAATGGGCAAATCAAGAAAATTTATCTTATATTTTTGTTAAAATGATGATAGTCTTAATTTTAAATATCATAAATCTAGCAGGTAAGCTTCGGCATTGCCTGGGCAAAATGTAAGAACAAATGTTAAAGTTATTTCGTACTTTTATCCTTTCTATTATATTATATTATAGTATTTGATTTATATTTACAAAGATTATATCACATAAGAGTTTATCACATTGAGTGCCCACTCTAACACATTTTAAAAATTTTGTAAATTGTGTATAGTAGAGGAATAAAGAGGAAATGCAGGCAAGTGCAATGTACTGTACTACCTGTCACAGTAATGGTATAATGGTGCATCTATTTCACACTATTTCATTGTTGCAGTAATTCAGTGAATATAGTATATATTTTTTTAAATTATATCCTTATTTGTAAGAATTATATTTAGTTAATTATTTTGTTAACTTTTTTGCCAATAAATGGCAATATGTATAACTCAGAAAATTGAAGGTAAATAAAAATTAATTGATTTATAGAAATGCAATTGATATTTTGGGGTGGGATGTACGACATGATCCAAGTTAGAAGTATTTGAATGTAATTGCTGAGTTTCGTAGCAATTGGTCGAACAGCCTAGGAGTGTATAGCAAATAAACAAACAAACATACATCCTTATAGGTGTATATATAGAAGATAAAAATAATGATATGTAGTTTAGTATTAAAAATCATAAGAAAAAAATATTGAAAATTTGAAAGTAAGAAATATTTAAAAAATAATATATAGTAGTAAGGTTGACTGATGGTCTGAAACTACTTCATGTTTAAAATAAAAGGAAATAAAACTAAAATGGCTTTGAAGTCTTAGAAATTGAAATATATTTGCACAAAAATGTTCAGATTACTCCATTTTCAAATGCATTTGAAACAAATTTTACGTTAGACTGGTAAATAAAACAATTTATTTTAAATTATTTTAAGCATAATATTTAAAAATATTTGTGCAAATAAATTTTGAATTTTTTTAGATTTTAAAGCTATTTTAGTTTTGTATTTGGTTTTTATTTTGTTTTTTAGTTTAGAATGAATATATTAATTATTTCTTCTGTTTAAATGTATGTTTATATTGATATATAATAAAATATTGTTATAGTAATTTAATTAAATGTCTAATATTTAGGATAAATTTTTATATAAATTTAATAATTTAAAAATCTCATATGGGTTAGTCTTTTATATTGAAATTATAGTTCTGTTGTTATATTTATAGATTATAAGCTGAGATAAAGAGAAAAGTTATCAGAAATATGTTCAAAGATTAATTAAGCAGGAAAATTTCAAAAAATATATTAATTTTTTTACATTAAAAAAATACTTCTGTTCAATAATGTTTATTAAAAAGATATTTATAAATATCTGAAAAGATTCATAAGATATTTTGGGATTACCTGTTTAATTTTAGTTGTGGAGATTATTATTAATATAATTATCAAATAAATGATTTTAAATTAAGTTTATGTAATTAAATTAATCCTTGACATGTCAATAAATAAGATAATTGAGAAACTAATAGAAATAAATGTATTTTTGATTATGTTTATTATATACAGTATAAAATGATTAATGTGATTTTTATCATTACAACATGATTTATATAATTAAATAATTAAGAGAGAGAAAACATTTTGGTAATCTTTTAATTCTTTATGAAATCTAATTAAAATTCAGACTAGATTTTTATAAAATGAAAATAAAATAATTTTTATCTTACAAAAATGTACTTCTCTAACGCTAGACACGTAATAACTTCTAATCACGTCAGTCTAGTCTACGTCGGTGCCACTAAAAGGTCATTAGAACAGAGAATACGTGAATTCAAATATGATACAAAGCATTCAAAAATTACCACTGCCCTATCTAGGTTTGCCTCAGAAGATAATATAGGGGCAAAATTAAATCAGGCTCAGCTCATCAGATCTTCTATAAATTAGAACTACATCAGGCTCTTAGAGTCCATTGAAATATTTAAAGCCAGCCATAACTTCAATTGCATAAACCCTAAGGACAAGATACAACTATCCAAATCAATATATTTTAGAGTAGAAATTAAATAGTATAAAAATTTTTATAAAATATACACCCACAACTGCCATAAATGATCGGGCTAAATTTGGATATAATGATTATAAACTAGAAATGAATTTGGCACTAGAGTGAGGCGTTAGACTCCATCTCATATTAAAATTAATAATTATAATATTTAATTAATTAATTTAGATTAAACTGGAAGAAAAGAATCGGCTCGAAGTGGGACTCGAATCCACAACTCCCGCTTACCGTGCGGACGCGTTGCCAGTTTTATTAAAATAAAAAGTTTTATTTTAATAAAATTGAATGGCGAGCTTGGTACAAAATATTGTTATAGCCTAGGTGATGTAGTATGGATCAGTGCATGTCTCATACTCACCTTTTTAAATTTGAATGCTACGTGACCATTCTATTCAGTGGCATTCCAATTCAGAATGAACTATTTCAACCTGAATTGGAATCAAGTAGATTCTGAAAACGTTTGTGATTTGTCACATCTTCCATGTTTTCATGTATGTTGAAGAGGTTCAGTGATTAGAAATTTTTAGCTTATTGTTTTTGAGTATTAAAATTTATTAATTAAACATTCCATTATTTTAAAGAATTAAAAGCTATGGGCTTTTTTTTTTCAGTAACATATCATACAAGGAGAAGTTGTTGATATAGGTTTTATTGGAGGAAATGCATTTCAGGTCTTAATGATTCCTTTCAGTCCTTTTATTAATTATTAAAAGTTACTAAAATTTAATTTTTGCAAACTTTTGTGATAGATAAAATATGATAAATAAAATTACTTTTTAGTGTTAAAAAAAACTTTTAATATTGACAGTCTAGCACTTTAAACGTTGACAAAACAATTATATTTTATATTTGGGTGATATAAATATGATTTGGAAAGAGATTATAATATATCTGTTGCTGATATAGATTTTGTATCCAAAATAATATAACAAAATCTTTTTCCTAAAAATTTAATAAATTGTAAAAAACAATTCACATTTTTGATAAAATAGTTCCTAAATGATGAAAATATACTTTTCAACAGTCTGTTTCATGTAGGCTACTACAGGAGCCTCAAGTTTTTATTCTCTCCTTAAACTTCTATCAGAGGATAAAAACACTGGACTCAAGCAATAATCTACAAGAAAAGTTGTGTATTTTTATGTTTGCATTTTATGAGATTTTTTCTTAATAATAATAATAATAATAATAAACAAATTTTGGCACTAATGTAAGAATTCATAATAATGATATGAAAAAAGCAGCAAATCATCAAGCATTTTTATCATCATTTTACGATAGAATTTTTCAAGCAGACAGTCGACAGAAATAATAATAATATCACAGGAGTAATATTTTATAGATCATAAATTTATCTTATGGCACAAGAGTTAAGGAAGTTGTTTTTTATAAGCAAAAAATAAGAATTGATTTTTTAAATTAAAAAAGAAAAATCATATGAATCAACACAAAAATCTTGTATATGTTTTATATTATGAAATATATTAAGAACATCTGGTTAAATTGTCCATAAACACCTTAAATAAATTAAATAAAAAACTTTGTTCTTATCATTTAAAAATATTTTTTGAAAAAATTAGAAAAATTTTTATATTACGAAATAAAACTGAACTTATTTTCTTACTAATGATATTTCTATTATTAGCAAATTTCAAATAATCAACAAATGTATTTTAATTAAAATATTTACAAAATAAAGAAATTAAAATTTAATGAATTCTTTGATGTTTGACCAAGCACAATAATAATGTAATATTTATTAATTTTCTGATTAAATTAGGAATTATTTTTATATCATCAAAATTAATTAATTTTTTGTCTTAACAATAACTTATTGTAGAGTAGAAATTAAATTCTATAAAAAATTTTATTTTAATAAAATTAAAATTATTCTAAACATATATTTTAATAACTATAAAATTGTATGTTGTAATAAACATTTAACTTATATAGTTTTAATGTGTATTAAGATTTAATTGAATTTTTTAATTAAATTATTTAAGAATTATTAAATATATTACTGTATATTGTTAGCATAATAAAATGTTATCTCTAAATTAGTCAATTATTCCCAAATTTTTAAAATTACTGATCACTATTCAAGATTATGATCTGCGATTAAGTAGTCTGTAAAGATATTTCTAGTTTTAAGTCTGAGAGATAAGATGAGGCACTTGTCAATTACAAATGTAGGTCTCATCTCTCTCTACAAGCCATAAAAAAATATATGAATAAAATTGGTAACAATTATCGACAGAAATTTTAATCTGTATCACTTCATGTCATGTTTTTTTTCTATATCTGAATCTGTTGATAATGCATATCATATTTCCATGCAAATAAGAGCATGCTCGTATGTGTGAAAATGACAGGAAAAAACGAAGCAGAATATGTGTTTTTGAAACACATCCCCTGCTTCGTGTAAACAGCATACCTCACGTACAAGAGCATGCTCTTATGTGTAGCAGCTTGTTGTAGCACAAGAGCATTACACCACTGTGCCAATGTAAATTAAATGTAAATATACTGATATGGTAATTATTCAATGATGTCTCTGCAGTAACCATTATTAAAATTAAAAACAATGCTTCTGATACTATAAAAATTGGTTTAAAAATAGTGAATTTTTTTAAGGTATGAAGTACTTTACAGACTATAGTGCCAATTTTGCCCATATATAAGAGTATGTTCTTATGTGTGCAGATATAACAGTTAGACTATAACTTAGCATATATTAATAAATGCTAACTCATTACGATCAGATTTTTACTTTAAAATCAAGTCTTTCATATGAATTTCTTGAAAGAAAATATGACAACAGTGTTGTTGAAGAGGAAAAAATAGTTTAATAAGACACTGTTACAGCAGTAATAGATGATTTAATTAAGAATTTTTAGTAAC